TACATGGACATCAGTAATCTAATTATTTACCTTATTCTGAATAAGACAATATTACGATTAAGGTGTTTACATTAGTTTCTTTTCGAATATTCCTGTTTTACATGTTCTAGTCCATAGATCGATTAATGACACGTCATTACGTCACCACGTTACGCCATTCGACGTCCCCCATTTCACGCATAAACATATAGTTCGTGTTCGTTATCATACAGTTTTGGGGGTTTCATTTTTAATTTAACGTTACTGAAAGTTACCATACGTATATACAGGCCTATATATATATATATATATATATATATATATGACTATTTTTAAGGTTTCAAATAAGTTTTGGGAGAATAAATTGTCCAAAAGTGGGTGAAATAATGTTGCATTGGGGTATGCTAGTGTTAAAGGGTCTTTTTTTGCTAGTGTTAAAGGAAAAAGAATAGAGAACGGTAGTTTTAGATGGTCATTTTATAATAAATAAAAAGAAAACAAGCAGTTAAGACAGAAATATAATAGAGAGTGCGAGTGTTAGAGGGTCAAGTGTTGTTGTTTGTTTGTTTTTTATAAATAAAAATAAAACAAATAGATAAAATAGAATCAGAATAGAGAGTGCTAGAGTTAGAGGGTCAAATAAAGATGGAAGTTTTGAGGAATTTTTTTACTATGAAAGTTTCCTCGGATTAAGAGTGGAAATCTGTTCTGCTTCATTGATTTAAGGTTTCAAGTAAGTTTTGGGAGAATAAATTGTCCAAAAGTGGGTGAAATAATGTTGCATTGTTATTCAGTGAAACACTTACAGTAATGTAAAAATCACAAGTAAGTAGTATTTGGGGTAAAACTAATCATAAACTGATTCTTGTGGTAAATATGCCTGACAACATTGTTACACTGAATGACATTTTAGTGGCTGCTTTCTGTAAAGCATGGTAAAAGAAAAAGTATTAATATTTACTTTTTGCACAGAAAAATATTAGGTATAATTGATGTACATATAATTAGTAATAATACAATTCATCTTATCATAATTAAAAGGTATAATAAATTAAATAAACTACACTAATACACACACACTTACATATATATTACTATATTGCAATTACTATTAACATACTATTTACGCGTGCGTGTTTAAATATAAACATATTACGATAAACTGATATTTTTCTAATTAAAAAGTGAGAAAGCTGAGACTGAAGTAAATGTACCGCTCTGCTGTGGTTTTTAAAGCGCTTTAGAAACTCCTCCATCCGTCTGGACACGAACACTCTTCCGCTGTCACCGTCACGTTTATATTTATCACAATATGCGCGCAAATATTAAATATTATCGCCGATCTGTGAGACGCGAGCGCTGAACTCTGCCGCTCTTCTTCTGCGAGTGTTCGTGTGTGACGTCACGAGCGTCAGACGCGAGTCTTCTTGCGCCGCCAAGTGGAGCGGAGGACAATAACACAAGCGCCAGACACACTTGTATATAATAAGCTTGTTAAATCACGATCAAGAAAACAAATCAAATCATTTTCGACCTTTATGTGCAGAGCTAGGTGATTTCGGCACGGACGGTTCGTGTAGTATATATTATTTTTAAGTAGATTAAAATTAATTTTATTATAATGAATAATCATAATAATTCATATTATAGTTTTAAAACTATTTTAATTCCCCTGTATGACTTGCATGGAAGCTTATTTTCGCCACGGAATGAAAATATAAAAAGGCAACTACGACTTTTTTTCACCTAACAATTCGTATTTTTCGCAATTGCAAGTTCATATTTTAGTTTATAAATTAATAATTGCGAGACAAAAATGTGTGAGAGAGAAAAATCGCAATCACCTTTTTATATTTTTATTCCGGTGGTGTAAACCATAGACATAATAAATAATAAATATTTATTATGTCTGTGGTGTAAACAAGCGTCCATAGTGTTGTGAAAAAGCAAAAGTGAATCGATTAATAAAACATTTTATGATTCGTGTGGTTATATATTATGTTAATGTTATTTACATTATAATTATTAAATATCATAATAAATTGTATTACACTTTATATAGTTATAATAATCGTTGTGATTTCCGTTTACAAACATTCGAACCACACCAAGGGTTCCAGTCCGCCAATCAGCTCAGCGGATTCCTCTGTGCGCGGTCGCTGATTGGACGTCCCCTGACCGCGAGCTGAGCCAATCAGCAGCCGAGTACAGGCTGTCGTCCGCCGAGCGCGTCACGCACGCACAGCACAAGCAATCACGTGGGAGCCACAGTACTGAGGAGAGGCGCTAGCTGGTCTGCAGAGAATAAAGAACAGGTTTGTCAGATTAATTAGACTATATTTTAAATCGTTTTAAACACGCGTTTGCGGATTTAAACGTGCGCGGTGTTTTAGTAGCGGACGCATGACGTTAGCGCGAGAGCGCGGTTTAATACGTGTTTTGCTGGTTAACGTTAGCGTGAGGCCGCACCGGAGCGCAGTTACCGCGTTTTAACGGGGAATCGGTGCGGTAACGGCGCCCTGCGATCCGTTTCACGCGAGTATCGGGTTAATGTGTAGTTTGTGGCTGATATACCGTGTGTGGACGGAGAGATGGGGGAGGGGCGGGGAGGAATTAGGCGGGAAGGAAACATGGAGGAATCTTTGTTTAACAAAAGCCTCCGAGCAACTGCAGCTAAAGTGCTTCAAACCCGAGAACAAGCGTTTAAACTCGTGTTTCTGAGTCACAGCTGGTTTATGTGTTCCTGCAGCTCAATGCGATATTTTAATGCATTTTTGCTCTATGTTCAGTAACGGTATATTTGCGTGTTTTCAGCGCTGGATCGCATCATATTTCAGCTTTTAGTTGCTGATATCTGATATAATGCAGTTATGAAGGAAGATTCATTATTTTATTTACATAGTGTTTGAAAACAAAACACGCTGTGAGGAGATCAGCTGACTAACAATATTAATCACACACAAACACATATCTTTAAATACGATTTTCAGACATTTTTCTGGATACATTTTGAATAATGTATAAGCATGTAAATATTCATATATTTGTTTATATATATAGCATGCGTATACAAAACATTAAAATATACAAATATAATAACTAAAATATAAATAAACTAAATATTTTAACTAAAATTGAGTAACATTGTGTGTGCATGTTTTAAATGTGTGTGTGTGTATATATATATATATACACACACACACATTTAAAACATGCACACACAATGTTACTCAATTTTAGTTAAAATATTTAGTTTATTTATATTTTAGTTATTATATTTGTATATTTTAATGTTTTGTATACGCATGCTATATATATAAACAAATATATGAATATTTACATGCTTATACATTATTCAAAATGTATCCAGAAAAATGTCTGAAAATCGTATTTAAAGATATGTGTTTGTGTGTGATTAATATTGTTAATCAGCTGATCTCCTCACAGCGTGTTTTGTTTTCAAACACTATGTAAATAAAATAATGAATCTTCCTTCATAACTGCATTATATCGGATATC